ACGTTACGTTGCTGTCTATGCAGGGTCAGAAAGCTCTTGGATTTGATAAAAAATATCTTCATTTGTGTTTCGAAGATGAACGAAGGTCTTACATGTGTGGAACGACATGAGGGTGAGTAATTAATGACAGAATTTTCATTTTTGGTCAACTATCCCTTTAAATTTGAATGGTTTACCTTACACAATATTTTAAGTTAAGTGTAATTAATATGTTTGTGCAGAACAAGCGTTCTACCAAGAACAGCCTTTGCACTGGCAAGCAACACCATTTTCTTCAGAAAATGTAAAACTCTAGTTGTGACCCAGCTGGTTGTGGTATTCTGTTATATTAATCACACAGAATTTGATAAGGAAACCAAAACTAACCCCACCATATCTATCAATCATATGTTTGCTTGTGTAAAATGAAACCAAAATCTAAAGTTCTACAAACTGAATCTTGGAGTTTATTAAATTGAATAATTTTTTTGAGTTCTGCCAACGTAGTATTGTATCATGTGTAGAATTTCTAAAGAACTGTTAAACAGTTCTCTAGTTTAACCCTCAGATGTCATTCACTGATTGAGTGCATTTTGTTTGGTTTGTTTCAGATGATGCTATGAAGACCACCAGAGATGACTGATGTGGAACCTGTTGTCTCTGACTTTGAAGCCACGGGCAGGACTGGCCGGCGGAATGCATTGCCAGATATTCTAGGTTCCACGGACGGTCCTGGAGCTGCTGACCTACCTGATAAACTAGCCGAGCTTTCAGTAGGAGGTACTGTATGTTGTCTTTTGTTCAGCTGGGTTTGATGTCCATTAGTCTCGATGTACATGCCAATAATCAAAAGTATGTGCTTGCGAGATCTAGGCAAAATATGGGAAAAATAAATGAAAATAATGCAAATGAATAAAAAAGAAAGAAAACAACCCTACTAGCTCACAAGGATAGGATTTCACTGGATATCAGCAGCAGAAATTAATAATTTTAATGCAGCAAGTGTGCATTAAACTGATCAAAAGTGATAGTAAAGACATTTATAATGTTACAAAAGATTTTTGTTACATCAAATAATCACACAAATATTTGTATCACAGTTTCCACAAAAATGTTATTCAACCGTTATATTCAAATAGAAAATTTGTAATACTATTTCACAATATTACTGCTTTTACTGCATTTTTGATCAAATAAATGCTGTCTGAGTGAGCATAGTGGACTGAAATCGTTGAACAGTAACGTATAATGTAAAATGATAATAATATATAGACTTTTGACGATTGTGGGCAAGGCAAGTTTATTTATATCGCACATTTCAAATACTATAATTTTAAAAAGAAATGTACTTGACAAAATCCATATTGATGAGAGAAAATATGAATATAATATCTCAAATTATTTAAGCAAAATAATAGGAAATACATAATAAGCAGAAAAATAAAAAAATAAGCAATGCATAATAAGCAAAGAAAAAGGAAAAAGAAATAAAAATTGAATTAAAAGTATACATAAAAGGACATAACCTGAATGAAATACTGCAGTGTAATTAAACTGCAAACTTATGCAAGGGAATTATGCAATTAACAGGGCTTGAAACTAGTTTGGTGCATAAGTTAACAAGGCTAATTTAATCTACGCAGTGGACCTCTGATGTCTAAAATGGGCCATGATGTTGGCAGAGTCTAATCACGCCTCCGTGTGAGACTAAGCTGTGACTGACAAAAGCACCTCTCTTTAAAAGGTGCTTTTCTACGGAGAAAAGAGCACGCTCTCATCACATATACACTTTCCTCAACGCTTAAGTGCTTTTGTGTGATCGAGCTGTCATCAGGGGGTCGGCTGGAAGTTAGACTGCCACCAGATGCTGTCAGAAAGCCATACCTTAGTCATGGTTGCTGTGGTAGTTGGCGAAAACCTGTGATTTTCAAAGACACATGTTGATACATGTGTCCAGTATATCAAACTAAAAAACTTCAGAAAGAGTGATATCAGCGATTTAAACCCCTAGGCAATGACCTTGATTCAACACATACACTTCTGATAAATATGAATTCAAAATGCCTTCTTTTGAAGATCAGATCATGACTGAACCTTCCTGTGCATCAATAACTGCCTGCAGTCAAACACTTTTGATCTGCTCTGTTATCCATAAGCCTCAAATGCATCGTATGTGATCGCTGCAAATTATGTTCCATGAGTGATTTGTGATGATGCTGGAGATTCTCAGCAGTGCTATTCTACATCATACATTATTTATCCTGTTTTAAATAATAATAAACACAATACTGTTTCTGTGCTAGTGTAAACTACCTCTTCTGCCATCTAGTGGCCTTTCTTATAATTGTCCTACAAAATGGAATTGTCTTTTAATACAAAAAAGATTTTTAGCCAAGTTCAAAGAATGAAATCTTCCTCTCATATGAAATAAAATTGGATGGTGATTAAAACTGTCAAGCTCCAAAAAGAATGAATCATCACCATAAAACTATAATAAAGTCCTTCTGCTAGGGGGTCTGCAGTAAAGTTCAGAGAAAATAGTGTAAATAAATAAAACGTTAAAATCGACAGAATTTGGCATTATTACTGTTTCCTCTTATAAAGACTGATCAGAAATCATGAGAATTATTTTATTTTACAGTCAACATTTTGTGTTTCTCTTCCGATTTGTTCCTAAAAGTGTATCTAAAAGTGCTTTTATGATGGCTAGAAAAAATATACAGAGCCAATAATAGACACCGAATATTCTTCAGTCATCAAAAAGTTTTAAAACCCCTGGTTTATACAACTTGTACACTATATTTCAAATCTTCTAAAGCTATATGGTATCTTTGTGTGAGGAACAAACAAAATTGTCCTTTTTTCTTCTCAGTGAGAGCTTTCAAATTTCATTTACACTTGGTTTAAATAACAAAAATGGTGATATTATTTGTGTCACAGCAGGTTTGACTATACTAATGCCAAGTGCCATTGTTTCCAGTATGTCATGTGATGAACTGACATAGAAAACATAGCCAGAGATAAGATTTGAGAGCTACAGACAAAATGATCAGTGAAAAACTATATCAATTCCAAATCTTCTGAATTCTAGACTGTCATTTTATGTGAGGAAAAGAGCTCAATTTATTACAGCCATTCTATAAACCATTTTTATGATACTTTAATGTTTTTTCCCTTTTCGTGGCTTGACAGTATAAATCAACATCCACTTTCCTTGTACGAATTTCTTGCGAATTTGCCTAATGTGGTGCTGCTAATGCTGCTCGTTGTGACTATTTGCTTGTGTTTGAATTGCTTTGGATGAACATGTCTGCTAAAGAACAAATTCACATAGAATATTGCATTTAATGAGTATTTTTGGCCTCAACGCAGATGATGGCGAACAGGGCGGAGAGAGCTCATCCTCGTCCGACCCACCTAAAGAAACCACAGAGGGGGCAAAGACAGAGGGCTCATAACTCGGCAGTGATCTGACCTCATGAGAGACTCACACATGACCTGCCTCTACTCTTGTCCCATTGACCAAACAACTGTTACACTCTGTGCTATGCAACATTGAGACCACCTATGATTGGCATTCAGACGTGGGCCAGCGGGAAACAGCTCATTCCTATTACAGGAATTCATCTGAAATTGTGTTTTTCAAATATCAACGATTGTTCATTTCATACCTCTTTTCCCAAAGACTCGCTGTCATGATTTTCCTAACGACCGGCTGTTTTGTGTGTCTTCTGAAAACAGATATGACCTGCTTTCCCATTTTAAAAAGGAACATTTTGTTTCAGACTTTCCATAATAGCATTTTTCTCTGAATGTTGACATGTAGTGGCAAAAATGTCTCTTTTTGCACAAAAAAGTAAATACATTCCATTTGGTGATGTAGGTAAAGTTTTTTATCTTACGATATTTGTCTGTCCTTGTACAACACCACATCTTCTGTGTTTTGTATTGTAAAGATATGCATTGTTAACATTCTAGCCAGAGGATAAGAAACAGTGCTGAATAACATGAAATATGATATTTTCTTCTTGTAAATACAGAATTGTACATTATATTTGCTAGTTTTGTTTAAAAGCCTTTTGTTTTGTGCGTAACTGCTGTCAGTGTTGCCCTGCGTGAGCTGAAATTAGATTGTTAGCTGTCTGATGTATCTGCAAACATCCGTGGTCATGTCATTCGTACGTCATCTTAAGTGCTTGTCTCAGATATTTCTTTGCTGTTGTCGATGGCAGTGAAAAAATACGATTGTGGAGACTTGTTGTTCTTCCTCTCTTTCATCTTTTCATCATGCTTCCATCAGAAAATTACATTTGATTTAATTTTTTACCTGGCCATAAATCTGGTGTCATTTTGTCTGTTGTAAGCTACATATAAAATGCCATTATGCTATGTTTAAAAACTACAATAAATCCTGTGCTTAGTTTTTGTAGTTTGAATTTTTTGGACTATGGACCAGTGGTGGTGATTTATGTAACCAGCAGAGGACACCAGAGGTATCTTTTATAATATAAGGGCACAAAAAAAATCACAATATTCCAGTAGATTTTAATTTGGAAAAAACAAACAAAAAAACATAATATCATTACGAAACAAAATACATTTCTATTAATGTAGTTTATAAATTGTATGTGTGTGTTATATGTAAAATTGTGTTGCTGTTAACTTTTTGAAACTAAACAAAGCATTTGATTTTATCTACAAAATAGGATTGTAGAATTTAGAGCATAAATAGTATATGTTTATATATATGTATTGCATATATATATATATATATATATATATATGTATATGTAATATGTACATTTTTTTGCTGTTAATGGAACTAAACAAAACATTTGTTAGAATGGAACGCAAATTTGTTTACAGTTTATGAAAAACTTTTACAAAGCTCAGCAGTCAATCAAATGTTTCAGTTTTGACTAACAGCCAATGGGAAATCTGACTCCTCCCACTCCTGTTTAATCATTGTCTTGGAGCTGAAAAGAACTATTTAAGAGAAAATGCAGCTGCGTTTTCTGCAGAGCATTAATATAAAGTTTATCATTTGTTTATTGATCAGAAAAGCTTAATTTAAAAAAATGGTAGATGCTTTCTGTGGCACATGGAAACTGCTCAGCAGTGACAACTTTGATGAGTATATGAAAGCTCTAGGTAAGTTATACCATAATAACATCAGTAATAATAATTATTAATACAGTTTATTATTTCGGAATTTATTTTTATTTGAATTACAGACACATTCCAAGTGAACATTGCATGAATTCAATGCATCTGATTTTTTTTTTCTAAGGTGTTGGGTTTGCAACCAGACAAGTTGGAAATGTGACTAAACCGATGCTCATCATCTCGAAAGAGGGAGAAAAAGTTGTCCTAAAAACACAGAGTACTTTCAAGAACACTGAGATCTCGTTCACATTGGGAGAGGAGTTTGATGAGACCACCGTAGATGACCGACACTGTAAAGTAGGTTTGGAAAAAAATATGTTTCATAACATGATTTAATGGGAAGTGTTACCACAGGGAACAATACATTCCCATTTCAGAGGAGACGTGTTCTGAAGCTTTCTGTCTGAAATGAATGCACAGTGATGTGTTCTTTTTACCAGTCCACTGTGGTAATGGATGGAGACCAGCTTGTTCATGTGCAGAAGTGGGATGGAAAAGAGACCACCCATGTCCGGGAGATCAAAGACGGGAAGATGGTGATTGTAAGGTTCTTTACAGTATGCTACAGAAAATAAACTCCACATTAGCTCTTCACTGTTCATATAGTGGTATTTGATCACTTTCATTACTTGCTGGTTTCAATTTTATTTTAGAAACTCACCTTTGGGGACGTGGTGGCTGTGCGTACCTATGAAAAAGCATAAGTTTTGGGAATATTAAGAGGATTTGCCCTTCTCCAGGCAGCAACAGATACGGTGTGCTTTGATGCTTTACGGAAAGAAAAACTTTGCACTTCATTCCTCCAAATCTATAAAAGCATGGACTACAAATATTTTTGATCCATTTTTAATACGTTTGAGTCGATTCATTTGTAATAAACAACCAGACAAAATAAAGATGGCTTGTGTGTTCATTGATAAGATTAATATAGATTGTTGAGGCCAGCTGTTTTGTAATTTCACAATTTATTCATTTAAATGTATGTTTCTGTGCTATATTTATATTTATACTACGGGGGCCGTTGAATGCTTGAATCTGATTGGCTGACGAACGTTCTGAGGTGTGCAATTATTTTCAGGGAAACGCACGGTGAACGTAGTTCCAGGCAGCTCTCTTGACCGCATTACAGTTCCATATCACTTCACATAGTTAACTGTAATAACTGAAATTAACATACAATCACACGTTCTCGCACACGCACACTACAGTCACGCAGTTTGCACAAAAAGGTGTTGTCAGCGCTGCCCTGACGATTTGATCAGTTAGCCTATATAGTGTAGCAACTTAAAGGCTACACATGACATTTCTCACTAGCGAGGTAATAACAGCGCTGTTTAGAGACGCTGCTGCAGAACACTATTGAGGGACGCACAGAGGTAGCCTAACAAGCTCTCTCTCCCTCTGTCTCTGTCTCTCTCGCTCTCTTTCTAATAACTTCATTAATAACTGCATTAGAATCCTATCAACGGCTCAAGCCTCCATTACCAGCTTTAAAATGACGTTTTGGAACTAGCAAAAGAGGCGTTGGATGAGATGTGGAAGAAATAATCCTTCTCACAATAGCGATTTAAGTACAAAACCCGGACGAATCCCTTTAAATATATCATCTGATCGATGTCTTGAGGTGTGATAACCGTAGTATAAGCGGAATAATTGACTCCAGGCCGTTAAATTATTAGAAAAATAATGCACACCCGAGGAGTAACGGCCACGATCACCACCTCAGGCGTGCATTATTTTTCTAATAATTCAACGGCCCGGAGTCAATTATTCCTTACATAGAGTAAGGTGTGTAGATGATATCATAATGACAGGCTTCAGATGTGTATGATATCCAATCAGTGCGCGTGACTGCAGAAGGTTGAGCAAACAAAGCGTCACGTGAGTGCCGCTTGTTTTTCCTGTTTTGGTTTACACAAGCACGGCTTAATAATAGACACTCGCAGGAATGGCTCTATTCGTTTTATTATGTTTGCTTGGTCATGTTTGGAACCTGCAGGTTTCTGCTGCGCCGGTTAATAATGCCTTCAAACACCCGCAGAGCGCACGTAAGTGTTCAGAGTCACATCAGGTACTCCATGTCTCCGGAAGTTGGCTTTAGGTATAAGTTTGCTCTGTGGCGCACACACTTTGCATGTGTTTGCATTTGCTGGTCTTTTTTGGATGTTTTAACAGACATGCCTTGTCGTTTCTCCTATTGAGTCAGATTCTTATACATTTACAATGGTCCATCTTACGGGCCTGTTGTTGTTGTTGTTGATAAGGGGTCCTTTTCCCAAAATCAAATGTCGCAAGTTGCGTCGTTACCAGTAGAGTTTAGCGGAACTTTCGATGCTTATATAATAATATTAATCTCTTAACATCACAGTACAAGTATTGATAGATTGTAATATATATTTGAATATGTACATAACATTACATTACAATTATGATTATGCTGCATCATCCGATATATATATATATATATATATGTATGTATATGTGTATATATATATATATATATGTATATATGTATATGTATGTATATGTGTATATATATATATAT